TTTAATCTTGCAGATTGTCTTCACCTAACAGGCACCCATTTCATCCTTCCAAGGTCAGTAAAATGAGGATCCAGATTGTTGGGGCAATATGCTGACATTGTAGACCGCTCAGAGAGCACTATGGGGTGATATATAAGTCTAAGTGCTATTACTATTATTATTTCTACCATTCTTCTGAAAATAATGTCATTTTTTTAATTAAAAAAACAATAGCTTTAAGGCATGACTGATTGGCAGTGCTGGTAATCATCTCAACATCTGAACCCTCAAGGAATTTAAACCTGGCTGACTTAGAATAATTGCTGTTGGGAAATGGGAGTGTTTCTTTCTTTTGCAATTCAGAGTTCTGCAGAGTTCACGTTGCTAAATGTTTCTTCTTCCAGCATTCAGGAATATCTACATGAAATGGTCAATATGGTAGCCAAAACAGTGAGATCAAAGCTTGATCTGCTTTTTATGGAGGATGTGGTGTGCTTTGGCTGTGAGGAGGCCATGTTTTATGTGAGATTTGGCTTGACATTCATTTGCACAATCATCTTTCTGGTCATTTGTAGTTTCCCCAGTTTCTCATACTATTCCTCACTATTGGCCTCCATTTAGGACTGGAGCACTCAAAAAAGTTTCTTAGAAATTTTCTTGTAACAAGGAAATCCAAGAATGAAGTAACTAGTAATAATTATTGTAGCAAGTTTGGAAGCCATAACCCAAAAAATTTCAGCCCCTGTTGCAACTCAAGTACTGCCCTCATTTTATTTTTTGCACTCAAACTCTCTTGCATTTCCTTTTCCTTCCTGTTCTGCGTGACAGATGGCTTGTCTTCCCCCTTTTGATGGGACAGGCTTGTTTGTCTCTATTCATTGTTTCTGCAATAGTCAGATTTGTTGCCATGTTTTTTCACTGGTGTGAGAACTAGCTCTAGACAAAGGGAGGACAACATGAAGCAACCCTGCTTGTGGGACATTTTCAAAGCGGGAAGTGTGAGTTGTCTGGGAAGCTGCAGATTGATGGATAAACAAACTCAATAATATCCTTTTTCTCCACATAATTATAATATAAAGCTCAGAAACACCCCCCACTCCAAAAGGTATCCAGAGAAAACTGCTTTCATACAGTACCAAGGAAACTCTGAGATTATATCTAAACAGTCACCATTGAATTGATGGCAATTTTGTCTTGTAGCTGTTTAAATTCTTTTTTAAAAGTGCACTCTACACAGAATGTTATGTTGCATCTCTAAAAGTATCCGATAAGAATTTTGTCTAATCCAGAATTCTTGACTTACCAATATTTCTATTTTTTCTAAAATACATTGTGGATATTATCAGCATTTACCTCTACTAAGAGCAAAAATGTGATCCACTGGAGAAGGAAATGGCAAACTACTCCAATATCTTTGCCACGAAAACCCCATGGACAGTACTAAAAGGCAAAAAGATATGACGCTGGAAGATGAGCACCTCAGGTCGGAAGGTATCCAATATGCTACTGGGGAAGAGCAGAGGGCTAGTACTAGTAGCGCCAGAAAGAATGAAGCGACTGGGCCAAAGCCGAAAGGACGCTCAGCTGTGGATATATCTGGTGGTGAAAGGAAAGTCCGATGATGTAAAGATTTTTTCTCCATAGGAACCTGGAATGTAAGATCCATGAATCAAGGCAAGCTAGACGTAGTCAAAAAAGAGATGACAAGACTGAACATTGACATCTTAGGAATCAGCAAACTAAAATGGACAGGAATGGGTGAATTTAACTCAGATGACCATCAGGTATACTACTGTGGGCAAGAATCCCTCAGAAGAAATGGAGTAGCCTTCATAGTCAATAAAAGAATAGGAAAAGCAATACTGGGATACAATCCCCAAAATGACAGAATGATCTCAATTCGAATCCAAGGCAAACCATTCAATATCACAATAGTCCAAATCTATGCCCCAACCACTGGTGCTGAAGAGGATGAAATTGACCAGTTTTATGAAGCCTATAGAATTAACACCAAAAATGATGTCCTTATCATCATGGGGGATTGGAATGCTAAGGTAGGAAGCCAAAAGATAACCGGAATAACAGGCAAGTTTGGCCTTGGAGTACAAAATGAAGCAGGGCACAGGCTAATAGAATTTTGTCAAGAGAATACGATGGTCATAACAAACACTCTTTTCCAACAACCCAAGAGACGGCTCTACACATGGACATCACCAGACGGTCAACATAGAAATCAGATTGACTATGTGCTCTGCAGCCAAAGATGGAGAAGCTCTATACAGTCAGTAAAAACAAGACCAGGAGCTGACTGTGGCTCAGATCATGAGCTTCTCATTGCAAAATTTAGGCTTAAATTGAAAAAAGTAGGGAAAAGCACTAGGCCACTCAGGTATGAACTAAATCATATTCCTGATGAATATACAGTAGAGGTGACAAATAGATTTAAAGAATTAGATCTGATAGACAGAGTGCCTGAAGAACTATGGATGGAAGTTCGCAACATTGTACAAGAGGTAGCAACTGAAACCATCCCAAAGAAAAAGAAATGCAAGAAAGTAAAATGGCTGTCTGAGGAAGCTTTGCAAATAGCTGAGGAAAGAAGGGAAGTGAAAGGCAAGGGAGAAAGAAAAAGATACACCCAATTGAATGCAGAAATCCAGAGAGTAGCTAGAAGAGATAAGAATGCCTTCTTAAATGAACAGTGCAAAGAAATAGAAGAAAACAACAGAATAGGGAGGACCAGAGATCTCTTCAAGAAAATTGGAGATATGAAGGGAACGTTTCATGCAAAGATGGGCATGATAAAGGACCAAAATGGCAGAGACCTAACAGAGGCAGAAGAGATTAAGAAGAGATGGCAAAACTACACAGAAGAACTATACAAGAATGAGCTTAACATCCCAGATAACCACAATGAGATGGTCACTGACCTCGAACCAGACATCCTAGAATGTGAAGTGAAATGGGCCTTAGAAAATCTGAGCAACAACAAAGCTAGTGGAGGTGACAGTATTCCAGCTGAGCTATTCAAAATCTTAAAAGACGATGCAGTAAAAGTGCTACACTCAATTTGCCAGCAAATTTGGAAAACTCAACAGTGGCCACAGGATTGGAAAAAGTCAGTTTACATTCCAATTCCAAAAAAAGGCAACGCCAAAGAATGTTCAAACTATCGCACCATTGCACTCATTTCACATGCTAGTAAAGTTATGCTTAAAATCCTACAAGCTAGACTCCAGCAGTATGTGGATCGAGAACTACCAGAAGTACAGGAAGGATTTCGAAGAGGCAGAGGAACTAGAGATCAAATTGCCAACATACGCTGGATCATGGAGAAAGCTAGGGAGTTCCAGAAAAACATCTACTTCTGCTTCATTGACTATGCAAAAGCCTTTGATTGTGTGGATCACAACAAATTGTGGCAAGTTCTTAAAGAGATGGGAGTACCAGACCATCTCATTTGTCTCTTGAGAAACCTATATGCGGGTCAAGAAGCAACAGTGAGAACTGGACACGGAACCACTGATTGGTTCACAATTGGAAAAGGAATCCGGCAAGGCTGTATACTGTCGCCCTGCCTATTTAACTTATATGCAGAGCACATCATGAGAAAGGCAGGGCTAGATGAATCAAAAGCTGGAATTAAGATTGCCGGGAGAAATATCAACAACCTAAGATATACAGATGATACCACTCTAATGGCAGAAAGTGAAGAGGAACTAAAGAGCCTCTTGATGCGGGTGAAGAAGGAGAGTGCAAAAGTTGGCTTGAAACTCAACATTAAGAAAACCAAAATCATGGCATCCGGCCCTCTCAATTCCTGGCAAATAGATGGGGAAGAAATGGAGGTAGTGACAGATTTTATTTTTCTGGGCTCCAAGATCACCTCAGATGGGGACTGCAGCCAAGAAATTAAAAGACGCTTGCTCCTGGGGAGGAAAGCTATGGCAAATCTAGACAGCATACTAAAAAGCAGAGACATCACCCTGCCAACAAAAGTGCGTATAGTCCAGGCCATGGTTTTCCCAGTTGCAATGTATGGCTGTGAAAGTTGGACCATAAGAAAGGCTGAGCGCCAAAGAATTGAGGCCTTTGAACTATGGTGCTGGAGAAGACTCCTGCGAGTCCCTTGGACTGCAAGGCGTTCAAACCGGTCAGTCCTAGAAGAGATCAACCCCGACTGCTCTTTAGAAGGCCAGATCCTGAAGTTGAAACTCAAATACTTTGGCCACCTAATGAGAAGGAAGGACTCACTGGAGAAGGGCCTAATGCTGGGAAAGATTGAGGGCAATAGAAGAAGGGGACGACAGAGAATGAGATGGCTGGATGGAGTCACTGAAGCAGTAGGTGTGAACTTAAATGGACTCCAGAAGATGGTAGAGGGCAGGAAGACCTGGAGGAACGTTGTCCATGGGGTTGCGATGGGTCGGACATGACTTCGCAATTAACAACAACAACAAGAGCAAACTAGAGGTCTAAATGTACAGACTGAATTCTATAGGATACATTGTGATGCGGAAACAATAGTGTATTATTTTGGAGTGCATAATATATAGTACGTAGTAGATGAGGTATCCTGCAAAATATTTTAGGTACCTTTTGCTCCTCAAAATCAAGATGATTCATAAATGCACTTCAACATTTGATGACTGTACTATAAAGATGTGTTGTTGGCAATTTTTACATCTGTGACTAATATTATACATCAAACAGCAGATGTGAATTTCTCACATTGTCTCATATTAAGTATAAATGCTGTGTTTTTGCATTGCAAATTAACATTTTCAACTGTGACTTCTCAAATCTGTGACTTCTCAAATCAATTCAAAGTAAATTAAGTATTTTATATGTGGAAGTTAATATGGTTAAATATAATTTCTCTTTTTTTGTGCTTTTGGCTAATTTAGTCAGCAGCTTATATGTTTCTTAAATTAATTACTCCAGAGTACAGCAATGTAATCTTATGTAATACTGTAGTAATATTTGCACGCGGTCAAACAAAAGAAGCAAATACCATATCATTCACAATAAATAGTTTATCGGAGAGTAGAATATATTATATCTACGTATTAGAATTTAATACAGTTAATCAGCTTAAACTTGCTTTACATTTACATGAAAAACAAAACCACAGGTTATTACTGCATTCTCAGTTAAGCTTGTTGAATTCTGTGTTGTCAGAATTAGTTATAACCAATAGGTAGCGTTGATTAAATGATTTAACAATTCAGCCAAGAATTGCTTCTTCGAATAGGCCGAACAATTCTTTGGTCTTTAGGGTCAAACTGAAACACTTTTGTTCCTCGGAAAAAATAGATATATCCTGAGGAGAAAAAAAGAAAGAAACATAAATGAAAAATCTGGTTTTTTTTCAGACCCAAAGATAAGTTTCCTCTTTACAGATTTCTAATGTGAATTTAGGAAAATTTGAGCTATGTGTGCAAAAACATTCATGACAATATAGAACAGACTTTGAAATTCTGAAACTTCAAGCTAACAGTAATGTGCAAAAGAAAAAAAAGCAAAGGTATATTTTGTCTGCTTTTGAGACTTGGATTAAACTTTGACTAAACTTTGCTTAAGCATAATTTATAAATCAGTGATTGATTAGGTTTGTACAATACATAAATATGTAAGTCATAAATCATGAGTTACAGATATTAGTGCCCGGGTTCATACAAGATATTAAGCCACATGACTATCAACCAATTATAAATCCAACCAATTTTGATTTAGTCCTTAAGTCATTGCTGCTCATATTTTATTTCACAAACTATGAATCAGCAAAACGTAGATTTAAGGCCATGCAGGGATATAATTACAGGCTTAATTTATTTTCATTTACCGAATTAATGGAGGATAGAAGCTTTTGTGCACTTTTGCTAGTCTTTAAGCTGCCACAAGTTACTTGTGATTTTTTTTTAAATGACGATGAAATAAAAAATTCAAAATGGTTAAAGGAGTATTAAAGAAACCACTATCTAAAATGTTAAATGCAGAAGGTTTAAAAGTTATAATGCCCAGTGCAGTTTGTAAACCCATTATGTATGTTCTATTATACTAGGAAGAAAGAATTTAATAGTGCTGATGATAATATAAATACAAATTAAGTCAACCTGGGTTCTAATAAATCTTGTTTTTCTGCCATACCAACTCACTCCTTTACTCACCATTGTTGTACAAAGCAGCATCAATTCTGGGTTTAATCCCTTTAAAATCTTGGGCTATATTTCTGGGGTATCCTTTTTCCATGCTTTTTTCCATTTCATTGTATCTGAATGGAAATAACAAATGTTATGATTGAAATGCAATATAGAAGGCACTTTAGTTAAAGGAAAAAGGATTCAAGTTGGTAATGATCAATTGAAGAAGCCAAGCCAAATACAGGAAATGAAAATTTCTTCAACATACTTTTCTCTCTAAAGGAGAAAATGACTTTATGGGCCTATCCACGAAGACTTGCCACTGCCTTCTTCTGTTTTAAAACTTTGCAGTTTATCTTACAGTCCTGATATTGCCTGGACATCTCAAAGTTTCCATGCTGAGAAGTTCAGCCAGGTGTTCTCAAAAACCACTTCCAAATTTTAGATGTTTAGCAGTTGCAGTACTTTTAAAGAAGGTGCAGAGAATCAGTCATCCTCTAGATCAGTGGTTCTCAACCTGTGGGTCGGGACCCCATTTGGGGTCGAACGACCATTTCACAGGGGTCGCCAAACAACGCAGTCCGCCATTTTTTTCCCCTTTTCCTTAGCTGTGCTACTCCCTTTCATTCTATTGGCTTTTGAAAGCCAATAGAATAGACTCTCTTGAATAGAGTCTAATTCTATTGACTTTCAAAAGCCAATAGGAATTGTCCAGGCTGTCTCCGCCCTGCTGAGCCCGCCAAAAGTCCCATTCTGCAAACAGTGCTGTACCAGTTGGGTAGTCCTCAACTTACGACCGGTTGAGTAGTCCTCAACTTACGACCAGTTGGGGGTTGCGGCATTAAAAAGGTTGAGAACCACTGCTCTAGATCATGAAAACCAATCACAGCTTTTGGATTATGATGACAGCTGTATGATTAAAACTGCTGCCTGCCATTAAGAACTGTGGGAAAGGTCCAGGGAAGATGGCTGGATTTAGTTCCCACTAAAGAAGTTAATCATGCTTAAAGTCCAGTGAATTTCAGTGAAAAATAGATTCATTCAACAGTCTGAGTCCAATCTGGTATCTTTTCAAATGATAAAAATGACCGTGGGAGAGACATTTGAATGAGTAGGAGCCAGTCAAGATTCAGACTGTTATTCCAAAAAAGGACTGGCAAATAGAAAGTATTCCTTTCTTATCTCCAGTCATCTTTGCTTAATGCCATCATTGGAAGTGGCTCAAATGGAAGAAGAGATTAAGAAGCGGTAGGGTTTTGTTTCAATACTAAGTATGAAGAGTGGGCAAATCAGGGAATATCCATTTCTATTTGTTGCTTTGGATTTGTGATCTGATTCAGTTTGGATTTCCAGATTTGACTGAGTTGCATATCAAAATGAATTACTGAATCTGTTTGGATTTCAGAATCAAATAAGGAATTCTTTTTCTACTCAGAAGATTTGGAGGCTCATGATTGTATTCTATTTCCTTGATTGCTTTGAAAAAAAACTGATTAAATTCAACCACATTTACTTTCTATCAAATATTCAAGCAGAATATTCACACATTTGTATTAGGCATTAAAAAAACCTTATGGGAAATATACTTTGCTTTACATGATCACATCAGTGTAAGCAGAACTAGCATGCTCTATCATGTACAATAGGCCTTGAGCTTGGATCGCAATGCATGGCCACCATTTTGCAGATTTTGACCTCTTTTATTTATCATCTTATTGCCACACTATTATATACTACATTTCAATTAAATATTGCTTATTAAAGATTAATATCTCAAAACTAACCACATAGTAAGCAAGTCATATTAAGATCACAGAACACTGAGCCATACCTCCAATACTTATTCCCAATGAAAAAATAGGTCTTTCCAGCTTCTGGATCACTGAATACAGCATCAATTTTCTTCACATTTCTTGGTAATCCCAATCTGTAAATGCTTTGAGCCTGGGCAATTACATCATATCCACTTAGAACCCAATATCTGTTTCCTAAAAAGAGACGGAGTAATATTAAATGTAATTATATTTTTTGATACTGTTAGGCTTTCCTCAAGTTTGCTTAAGAAAATTATTATTTCAATATTGAAATAAATGATCACTTCTGAGCCTTGTCATGTTTCCCACTGTTACATGCAGCATTTGGAGAAACCAAATACTGGTTTTAAAAGAAAGATGAAGCTTTTTTAGGTGCTCAGAATTCTATGCGTGGGCATTCATAGCTCAGGGGTCTGTATGTCTATTTCTAGCAATAAATACTTGTTAGGAAGGAAGGGGAATCCTTTGTTCTCTGTGGATTTGACACCATCCTAACTTAAAAAAAAAAAAAAAAAACAAGTGGCAGCTGTAGGGAGTTAGGATCTGGCTTAGATCTTTTCGGCAGGCTGAAATTCAGTTCTGCATTGCCAGCAGAGTTATCTTGATAAAATGCAAAGAAAAACCAGAAGACAGCTGGAAAATTAGGCAGAGGAGAGGAGGAGAAGACAAGAACTGAGTTATCTGCCCTCCAGTCACACTAAAGAAATGCCAGCACAAAGTCAGACTAGGCTATGAGTAGTTCTGAATAATTTACCAACTGGGATAAATTCAGACAGTATAGTAAACCATAATGTGAAGTGTGTGTGTGGGTTTGTGTTTGGCTTTTGGCTTAATGTGATCACTGAAACCAGTTACTAGTTTGTATAACTTAGCATAAGCCAGTGTTTCTTAACATGTGGTTCTAAGACCATTGGGGGTCCCTCCCCCAAGACCCTATCAAAAGATCCACCAAACCAAAATTATTTCCCAGCCTTTGTTAAAAAAATAATACAATTTTAAAATACACACTCCGCTAGAGAGAAATTCCCTGGTGACTGACCCAGATTGGATCCTGCAATATTATTCTGGGATACGTATATTCCCCTTCATTCACCACAGTTTTAAAAGCCCCTCAAACAAGTGTGACAAGTAGTAGCGACAATGAATGCTTCATTTTTTAATTGTCAATATGATAAATATTGATAAATATAACCCAGATAAACAAAAGCTCTTTTGTGGTCCTCCATAATTTTTAAATGTGGAAAGAGTTCCTAAGAGAAGAATAATTAAGAAACACTAGATAGAATCACCTAAAAAGAAAGACTAACAAAGTAGACATTGGTTTATTGAACAAACGAAGGATCCCCTTTTTTTCCTAACAACTTCCTCCCCCCATATGATAAGAGCAAGTCTCGATAAATTTATAAGGCAATCAAAGTGTTTTCATTACTCACCTTTAAAAAGGAATATGTTATCTTGCACAAAGTTCTCATAAGCAGCGTCGATATTGGAAGGTAGAGTTGGCCAGAAAAGAGAAATGAAATACAGATCCACATAGGACACCTGAGGATGTTTACGCCAGAAATGCCTAATTGTAAAACAGAAGCAGCATATTACCAAATGTGGCATCTTTTCAAAGAGGGAAAATTTAAATGGAGTTTCATGTCATAAAAATAATATAAGGGTCGTATCCCATTTATTGGGAAAATATTACTCGAATTATAAGAATTATTTTAAGAATGCAACTCACCTGTCTTTAAAAAACAAATATTCTCCACGCATGGTGGTAACAGCATCAAAAGTAGTCTTAGCAGAACACACGTCTGGTGTAGAGGGTCCTGTTGGCTGTATTGGGCTGTCTGTTTTTCCTAAATAATAATAAAAACATGATATGGAAGCTATCAAATAGATACTAAAAACAATTGTAAGTATCAAGATTTGCTTTCTTAATGTTAGTGTTTGGAGTAGTACAAATTCCAGTGTGTCTTTGTTGATAGTGGGAAATTCTAGCTATAATAAAATTAATTATGACACTGTTTTAAGGAATATAACTGGGAAGAATAAGCTAGTTACAAGTTACAGAAAATTTTCTTTTGGAAATCCTACTTAAATGAACAGGATCTTGCAGTTAGTAATGCTTGCACTGCTTTACAAATATTCATTTACATTTAGTAGTCAAAAGGCAGGTTTTTGCATTCAATTTAGGACTTGATTTCTCTTGGCCTTACCATAGATTGCTTGAATGCCATTGATATCATCCTGCGGAAGACGAAATAATTCTGGCGCTGTGTAGGAGTAGGTAGGATACATCAAGGCCCCAACATCCATGGAATGAGACAGACCCAACGAATGGCCAAACTCATGAGCAGCAACAAGAAACAGGTTGCGGCCTAAAAAAAAAAATGAAAGAGAAAATCCTTTTTGTAGAAAGCAATAAGAAATTCATAACTGATATACTCCTTCCTCAGATTAAAAAAAAAAACAAAATTCAACATTTAACATGTAAAGAAAAAGGAATAGTCCCATGTAGATTTAGTAATCATAGTTGACAGGGAAGGGGAAGGGGTTGGTTCCTCCCACAACCTGTATAGGCAATTAAAATGTGTTTCATTTGTCTCAAAAAAAGCAACAACCCCTTTTTGTTTGTAAACTTCATTTCTATTTCTTGAAACAGAACAAAGTTGCTGCAGAAGGCACTGTCTGTTGAGAAAATAAATCTGAAGACTTGAGGGCATGGGAAGGAAAAGGCTAAATTCCTCTTTATGGAAGGGAAGCCATGTAGGATTTGAATTAAAACTGGCTCTAATTTCTGTACCATTCAGCCTGCTCAGTCATTGCCAACTACCTGCGATAGCTACTGTTTTACAGTTTAAGTAAAATTGTAATTCCTAGTCATGTTCATCCAGGTTCTTGGGGGTTGTAGCCCATATTAGAGAAACTAGCAGATATTTCCAGGTCTACCATCTCATCTGGCTGCATCTGTAGATAAATCTCAGGTGCTTATATCCTTGCATAATCTGTATGTTTACAGTTCAAGAATGATTTAGACATACCTCTTGGGCCATCTTTTGTCCAAAATTCTTCTTCATCAAAATGAGCATCTCCCCCAATATTTTTTCCTGGTTGAAAAGCATGTGCCAGGATTCCATCGGGACCATCAAAAGGAGAATTATCACCATGGTCTAAATGTAGAAGAAGTAAAGAGTTCAGTTAGGCAGTTAATTTTTTGCTTAAACAGTGGTCCCTAAAACCAGACTCGGCTCAGGGCTAAACCTATGTGGTTACCTCTGGTGTGGAAAGAAATCATGATATCTGCTTCACCATCATAGATTCTTGTGAAAGTCAAAGGTGACACATTGCTCCAGACTTCAAATGCTTTTCTGATGGCTTCATCTGTATGAGATGGATGCATATCTGAAGTGTAGCTTACAATCCTTTAAAATGAAACAGGAATAAATTATTAGGCAGCCACAAGAGTGGTCTATCTAAACCAGCATTGGAGATACTGAGTCACACCAGCTTTCCAAGATTCCAAAGTTATCCCAATTCTGTCAGAGCCTGCAGGAAAGGATTGGTTTACATAGAAAGTAACGCTTTCTTATTGAATCTAAAATTTGTTTTATGTATATCCCACCTTTATTATTTTTTATAATAACTCAAGGGGGATGGACATATCCAACACACCTTCCTCCTCTTACTTTCCCCAAACAATAACCCTGCAAGGTGAGTTGTGCTGAGAGAGAATACCTGGCCCAAAGTTACCAAGCCAGTTTTCATGGCTAAGGTAGGATATGAACTCATTCATGGTTTCCAACTTTCTAGTCTGTTGCTTTAGCCATTAGACCAAAGTGGCTCAAATGGAAATTGATCATATTCAATAGACACTTTCTAATTTCTCTTCATAAGGGCTTAAAGCAATATACTTCTTTCCATTTAACAACAATGTGATGGCCTATATCTGCTTCCAGCTAAATTGATACTAAAGCTTTTACTTGACTGATAAACATTCCCTTATTTCAGAAAGAAAATACTTTGTGTTAAAGAGAGGCCAGGCTGATCCCTGACATACTAAACAGGAATTCTGCTTCTGAATATCTCCTAGTCTTAAATAAGGTCTTGAAAATGCAAAATGTGCTATGAAATAAAGTTTGGAAAACATTAATAGAAATTTCTCCTCACTAAATGGACTGGATGTCAAGATCAATCAAAGCTCATATTTTCTATTGATGCAGGGGCATCTGCTGGAAGGACGCTCAAAACAGGGAAGATGGCAGACACAATCATGTGACATACACATAAAAGGGGTTTGGCTTCAATCATGTGACTGCGATTTTGATTTTTTGTCTTATCCTCCTCCCTGGATACCCCTACCTGTATGTTAAGCTGATACCTGCTAAAAAAAAGTACTGCGATCCTTTTACCTGTAGGTAATACTGTTTTTTTCCCATTTAGGATTGCCTTCTGTAAGAACAAATGACCCCAAGTCAGGTACGCCACACCTAGGCTTCTTCATCACTGCCAAAGTTTTCAGGTCAGCCTTTCCAGTCACATTCAGGCCAAAAAATTCTTGCATTTTTTTGAGATTTTTAGTCAATATTTCATTTTCATCCATACGGATCTTAGGGTTTCTCTCATCGTTGGATTGGTAGAAGTTTTTTAAGTATTTCTGTTAGGAAACAAAAGTAAGGTTACTCTGAATTTAAAAAAAATAAGCTAAAATGAAAAGAAACCAAGCGAGGGAAAAATTGATGGAATTCTATGGTTCTCATTCTTTCTAGTAATACATATGATCATTAATAACATAAAATAATATCCAGCATATCGAAAAATCATTCTATGGTTTTGGGGAAGTGGATGAAGATTCTTCCCATAAATTTGAAGGTTAAAGGTCCAAAAAATAGAGTTCACTTAAAAAAAAAGAACTCCTAAAGAGATTTAGCTTTTTTAATGATGGTGCAAATTTAAGGAGGATAGTCTGTTTTGCAGAAATTAACCCTAATCCATTAAGTAATTAAATTAATGAACAAAGTATCTGTAAAAAGATGAGACACATCTCACAAGACACAAAGGTAAATATGATATCAATGGGGAAAAATTAGTTGAGAGAGAAAAGTTAAAATTAGACTTCAGTATCATTAGAGAACAGCTAAAATTTCAGCAATTTTGAGTATATATTTACCTTCATTAAATTCATGTCAGCATTACTGATTGGTGAATTCACTGGAATGGCCAAAGCAGAAAAGTTGCAGGTGAGAAGCAGGAACACCCAAACGGAGAGACCTGTCATAGTTAAAATCACTGTAGATACTTCCAGTTCTATAAAATATTTATTCCCTTTGAATGTTTCTGGGTTTCAACCATCCTCAGTTTATATAGAAGTTGAAAACTTATCTCTGCTCTGACTCATTATCCTCTGATTGGCAACCCAGCGAAGGACTCATCCTTGAGCAATAACATTTTCACAACTCCTTGTGTTAATTAAAAAAAAGCAAAAGTTTTTTTCCCCAGTTATGAGAACATATTCAAATAGTAATGCTTAACATTATCTTCACCTTACACAGGTCTCACTACTGGAGGCTAAAAGTTAAAATAAAGATAGAATTTGCAAGAAAGAGGGATAATCCTGTGATGGGCATCTCATTTAGTTTGTTGGTCTTTCACAGAGATTTCCTCTCCATACTCCTGGGAAACCCACCTTATTTTATTGGTGTTTAGGGTGAGTTTAGAAAGGAGGAAGATATGTATAAGACCTCTTAACTAGTCAGAGAATTCTGGAGTTGGAATAGGTCATTGAGGCCACAGAGTCTAACACTCTGTTGAGTACAAGAATCGAAAATATTTGAGACAGATGGATTTCTAATCTTTGTTTGAATCTACTACTTTTCTGGGCAATTGGTTCACTGCTGGATTTTAGGTTAGGGATTTTTAAAAATCTTCCAAGAGAATTCATGCCTCTTTTTGCAGTCACATCCCACTTTGGTTTCTAATTAATTACTATACCAAGATCTATACCAAGTATACCAAGACACAATACCAAGATTGGGTATGTCTAGTTTAATGAAGAGAAGGATGAGGGGTGACATGATAGCAATGTTCCAATATCTCAGGGGTTGCCACAAAGAAGAGAGAGTTAAGCTATTTTCTGAAGCACCTGAGGGCAGGACAAAAAGCAACAGGTGGAAACTAACCAAAGAGAGAAGCAAGCTAGAATGAAGAAGAAATTTTCTGACAGTTAAAACAATTAATCAGTTGAACATCCTGCTTCCAGAAGTTGTGAATGCTCAACACTGGGAAGTTTTTAAGATGAGACTGGACAGCTATTTGTCTGAAATGGTATAGGGCAGTGATGGCGAACCTTTTAGAGACCGAGAGTCCAAACTGCAACCCAAAACCCACTTATGCATCGTCAGGTACCGGGTGGGTGTGGCCCATTAGGTAGATGTGGCCCATTGGGTGGGTGTGGCCCATTGGGTGAGTGTGGCTGCGGTGGTAACAGCAGACTGGGTGGGACTAAAAAGTTCAATCAATCAATTCCAACTTTGCAAGATCTTTTTTTTCCCGCAAGAAGTTGAAATTGACTGATTGATTGAACCTCTTTTTTTTTGTACATGGTGCAGAGGCCTAAAGGGAAAAGGTTTTATAAAACCCAGCTGAAGGCCTAGGACTGGGGTGACGGCGCGCATGCCCACAGAGAGGGCTCTGAGTGCTGCCTCTGGCACCCATGCCATAGGTTCGCCACCACTGGTATAGCGTTTCCTGCCTGAGCAGGGGGTTGGACTAGAAGACCTCCAAGGTCCCTTCCAACTCTATTATTATTATTATTATTATTATTATTATTATTATTATTATTATTATTATTATTATTATTATCATCATCATCATCATCATCATCATCATCACAAGTACTATGCTCCTACTATGATAAAATGTGATGTCATATCTTATAACTGCATGTATGATTTATTTTCTCCTAGCTCTGTATTTATGTCCATTAAATGATATACTCTTCATCTGAACCAATTGTTTTTAATTTTATTTCTGCTTTCAGCCGCACACTGTTTTGTATCATTTGCATTCCCATTACCTTTTTGACTTAAGGATTTAATTAATGCACTGAAAAGGAGGTCCCAGGACTTGATATCTCATACTGTATGAGTTTAATGAGGAATCCTTGATCCTTTGACATAGTCTTTGAGCCCATTATGAATCCACTTAATTGATAAGCCATCAAGGCTAAGCTTAACTAACTAGAAAATCAGAACATTGTGGAGTGTTTTGTTAAGGGCTTTTGTAAAATCCAAATATGTAAATAATGTATACAGGTAGTCCTCAACTTACAGCAATTCATTTAGTGACCATTTGAAGTTACAATGGCACTGAAAAAAGGAACTTATAACCATTTTTCACACTTATGACAATTGCAGCATCCCCATGGTCACATGATCAAAATTCAGACGCTTGACAATCGACTCATGTGTATGACAGATGCAGTGTCCCAAGTTCATGTGATCACCATGTGCGACTTTATGACAAATAAAGTCAATGGGGAAGCCAGATTCACTTAACAACTGTGTTATTAAGTTAACAACTGCAATGATTCACTTAATAACCATGGCAGAAAAGATCATAAAATGGGGCAAAACCCACTTAATAACTGTCTCGCTTGGCAACATAAATTTTGGGTTCAGTTGCGGTCGTAAGTTGAGAACTACCTGTGTAGCATTTCCATCATGTAGGGAATTTAGTTAATCAAAAGAAGAAGAAGAAAAAGAAGAAGGAGGAGGAGGAGGAGGAGGAGGAGGAAGAAGAAGAAGAAGAAGAAGAAGAAGAAGAAGAAGAAGAAGAAGAAGAAGAAGAAGAAGAAGAAGAAGAAGAAGAAATTACATCGGCCTGTCAACATCTAACAGACTGTTTTCCTGCCCTCTAGAATCTCTCTGCCACCCACACTTTGAAGACAGGGAAAACATGTTCTCCTTGAGTCATCCGGCACTTCAAAATGATTTCTCAAACATAATTCATAACGGTGCAACCAGATCATCATCTAGCTTCAATACCCTAAGATTATGAGAGCCACTCTGCTGCAGTAGTTTTGAAGTAGGGGTCCCCAACCCCTTGCCAGCAACCGTAGGATGCAGGCAGCAGGCAAAACCACACTCCCTCCAATCTGCGGAAAAAACTCTCTCCATGGATCTGGTCCCTGGTGCCCAAAAGGTTGGGAGCGAGGAACATTGGTTTTAAAGCACTGGTCCTGAGACTAGGTGACCATGAATTGTAGCCCTACCAGTTGCCAGCTTGGATCAGCTGTTCTCTGAAAACTAAGAAGAGTTGCTTTTCTGAGTGAGATAGATGGCATGTACATTTAACTTATAAAATGAAACAGAAGGCAAGGGCAAACCACTACTAAAACTTTGCCAAAAAAAAAAAGAAAAAAAAAAAAAAGAAAAGAGAAAGAAGAAGGAACTTGTCTGGGCAATTGCCAGGAATCTGACTTGGCAGTCTTGATCTGGTGCATTTTATCTGGCCTTAGCTATGAAACTAATTTAGAGTAAATGTATTTTCCCTGACCAGTGTAAGGTTCAGTCTTTCCCCATCATTAAGGATGCTATTTTAACTCGTGAATATGAGAGAAAACGAAGGTGCTATAGAGAAACCTTTTTAAATGATGTTTGTTTGTTTATTTATTAAATTGGTTTAATGTCCATCTTGCCACAAGATGACTCTGGGAAGCTTACAAGGTTAAAAACAGTAAACACACACACACATGTACACATTAAAAATAAAAATAAAAAATATGATTAAAAAGTGGAAGGAGAGGAAGCAGATGCGCAGAGGAGGAGGTGGGGTATACTATTGTCCCATCAACCACCTCCAGTGTGATAATTCTCCATTGGGGTCCCATGCTTACTGGCAGAGCCAGATCTCCAGGCTCTTGTGGAAGGTCAGAAGGATGGGAGTCAATCTCACCTCAGGAAGCAAGAGGATCCAAAGGGCAGGAGCAACAGCAGAGAAGGCTCTTCTCCTGGCCTTGCCAGCTGGTATTCCCTAACTGACAGAGTCTGCAACATGCCTCCTCTGCTGGCACCAGTGAAGTGGGCCTGTCCCATTGGGGTGAGATGGTTCCTCAAGTAACTTGGACTCATGCCACACAGGGCTTTAAATGTAATAACCAACACCATGAACTGCGAAGAACCATTGCAGTACTATTTTATTTGACTATTACCACATGGATATTAGAGTTAAGGAAGTGAAGAATCTTATTTTGGATAAAATTATGTTCTGAAATATGATGGGCATGAAAACCACTCCTTCGAAGTAATGAATTTTAATGAGTCCATCAAACCTATTTTGATTTCTTGGTTGTTGTTGTTTTGGTCAATCTAGCACTGCAGGGAATAAAGCAAATTCACTATTTAAGGCCATGTTTTTGCATAATGTATTGAAATCTGTCTTCTAATTTCCTTCCTTGTTTTGGCACCTCATCGTTGGAATGCTTTAGTTTTTCGGTAGTAATTCATTTGGTGCTTTTGAACTGTATTTCTGCAAGGTGGCACAGTTGGGCTTTTTTTTTCCTCTTCTGTTTTCTCTATGGTGATTCACTTTTTCTTTACTGAAAAAGCCACTATGGAAGAGTTGCTTGATATTTAACTGAAACGTGGGAAGCCAGAGAGATGTAGACCATCAAAATGAAAAAGATAGGACATTCATAAGTAAAGGAAATGGAAGAATTATATATTCCACCTATGAGAATTTTTAGAAATGGGCAAGAATTAGGCTTGAAAAATCTATTGACAACCAATGCACAACTTCAAGATAGGTTTTATTCCAACCTGTTGGGATTGTCCTATTAGAAATCTATCTGTACCAGTTGTAGCTTTGTGGTTGCTTCTCAAGGCACAACTACATAAAGCACATTACAATAGACCAACCAAGTAGTAATTAAGGCTTTGTAGGAGATGACCAGGCTGAGCCTGAGGGAGGGGTCAAATGCATCATCAGCCTTGAGTCCCTTCATGCCCACAAGAGATCTAAGTCCAGCCCACCTTAAATTCCATTGACTCTTATCTACCACCAATTTGCTTTGACTGTTAGTAATTCAGATTCTTGTAGAGAGTTTCAGCTTGCAATGAATCTATATATTCATTTGAATATATATGCCCGGACTCCTGATTTCCTGCACTTAATAATAATAATAGTAATAGTAGTAAAGTTGGAAGGGACCTTGGAGGTCATCTAGTCCAACCCCCTGCTCAGGCAGGAAACCCTACACCATTTCGGACAAATGGCTGTCCAGTGTCTTCTTAAAAACTTCCAGTGTTGGAGCATTTACTGCTTCTGGAGGCAAGCTGTTCCACTGATTAATTGTTCTCACTGTCAGGAAGTTTCTCCTTAGTTCTAGGTTGCTTCTCTCCTTGATGAGTTTCCACCCGTTGCTTCTTGTCCTGCCTTCAGGTGCTTTGGAAAATAGCTTAATTCCCTCTTCTTTATGGCAGCCCCTGA